CCTGAAGGAGAGCACTCACGAGTTAACTCTTCTCCTCACTTTTGACACTCTTTGACAGTTACTCGCTGACAACCAACACGAAAAATGTTGTCACTTATCGACAATGTCATTCGCGACGGCCGCCATCAAAACGACTCCAAGGAGGCCTTACTCTGCCAACGAAGCCATCGGGATCTCGGCCTCCTCCGACGATTCCGTGAAAGTCAGTGATCCTCGAGAAGATGGACTGAAAGGAAAGGATAAATAGGCTCATGATAAAAGCCAGACCGTTTAAGTTGCCCTTTGAGGGCTAATTTGCTTGTATCTCGAAGGGCTGAACTGGGGAAATTCTTAGGTTGGTCTCATTATGGCATTAGCATTGGTTGCTATGACAATGCAATTACGAACCGAGGAACAAGCAACTCTTTCAGCAATTGCAAGCAAATCTCTCCTCTTTTACCGATAGAACCAACCTATGCATTTTAACAGTCAAGCCCTTTTTGCGAAAGTAAATACAAATACATAAAATTTAGAAGAATAGAAAAAAGACAAAGAATGCAGCTATCCCGAAAAGTGGTAGGCATTAAACAGTAAAACATGAAAATGCATGATACTTCTCGAAGCTGCCCACCAATTTGGTACAGAATTTACGATTTTTTGCCAATAAACTATTTATAAAAGCATATGAAAGAGGTCTAAATCGCATTGGCAGAATGAAATAATAATGAGCACTTTTAATCCAATCATAAAGTGGTATCTATTCTCATAGTCAAAACTAAAGCTATTACTTAAGCATAACCGGAACTGCTCTGATTTTGTGACAAGATATACCATTTTTCATTTCGCCCGGATTTGGGGCTCATTTTTGTCCGAATGCCTCTACCGCCCGTAACGGAACTCGATCCGTTGAGGTGTGGGTAGCCTGGAAAGCGTGTCAAGCCATCAGCCAGACGATCCCAGCTCCAATAAGTCACTCGAAACGTGTACTTTTAGGTCACTTGAAATGCTTACTTAATGAATTTATTTGGCAATCTAAGTCTATTCTTCACCAAAATGGATGTCATGTGAGATGCATTCACTTTATATGCTGGCTGGTAGTTGAATTTTACCATAATCA